TGGGATGAAGGCACTGCAAACTCCCTCTGCCCTTGGCCTGGGTTTCACTGCAGGGCTGGGGGTGCTGTGTGTAGGCAATGTGTCTGTCCCAGCCTCTCCCCCCCCACCTCCACCCAAGGTCTGTTCCAGCCCCCACCAAGACATGGAGATGTTCTGAACAAACAATCTTTAATAGATAACAAGAAAAAAGTTGTATAACACCACCCTTCTCCCTCCCCCCTCCCAATCCCATCACAAGGCCTCTAACCCTGCTCTCCCACCCCACTGCTGCAGGTGGAGGCTCTCTATTTGCGGCCCTTTCTCAGCAAGAAGCTGTTTCGTCGCTTTTTCCCCCTCTTTTCCAGCTTGGCTTTGGGCTGCAACTCATCGCCCTGCGGTGGTGACAGCAGCAGAGCTGGTGGTGTCAGATCCTGCTGCATCTCCTGGGTGCTCATCTGGACGCTGTCGAGCTGCTCCACGCTCAGCATTATGCTGGAGGCTTCAGGGATGCTGTAGTCAGAGGAGAGCATCTCTTCGGGCAGCGAGAGCGATCTCATGTCGTGACTGGAGATGATATCGTCGAGGTCAGCAAGATCCCCGAGGTCTTCGAGCATAGGGACGCTGCTGGGGTTGTCTTGGTTGACCACCTCCATCTCAGGGGAGCAGTTGAAGAGCCTCACAGCCTCCTCCAGCAGCACCTCATCAGGCAGCTCGATGTCTAAGCTCTCCAGGTTGGCCCCCATCTCTTGAGGGTCGGGGGTGGTGGAGGTGCCCATTGGGGTGTCACTATCGAGTGGGACGATGCCATCAGAGGGCACAGCAGGGCTGCCACTCGGAGGTGCCTCTGAGATCCTCAGCTGCTGGATCTGCCCCTCCAGCTGCTGGAAGTCAGGGACCGACGGCATCAGCGGGGTCACGGCGCCACCCTGCTGTTTGTAGGGCACAAACGGCTGCGGTGGGGCCGGGGGGGTCACCCAGCTCTGCGGAGCCCCGGGGGCAACGTTGGGCAACGAAGCGGAGCCCAGGGGGTTGGCCGGTGGCGGCGCGGTGGTGGTCGCCCACTCAAAGTGAAAGACACGGGGGTCGAAGTAGCAGCCGCACGGAGCCATCCACAGCCCTGCAGGGGAGAAGGGGAGTTGGGGAGGGGGCTCCTCGGGTCCCCCCGAGAGCTCACATGGCGGATGGGGGATGTCTAACCTGGCGGGGGACCGCGGGGCGCGCCGGGTGCCACCAGCGTCCCTATAGCCGGAGGTGCGAGGAGGGGCTGCTCCATCGCAGGAGGCTGGCAGGGTTTGGCTGAGCCTGGAAGAGGTGAGAAAACGCCATCAGTCCCCTCCCAAACCGACGGGAGGAGCCCGGGGTGGGCGGGCCGGGAAGGGAGCGGGGCGCGTGGAGAGGCCGGGGTTGGTCCTCACCTACGAAGCTGAAGAGCTCAGGAAGGATGAGCGGCGGAGCCGGGGGGCCCTGGGGGCCACGAGAGGAGCGCAAGGCGGCAGCCAACTCCATGCGCTGCTGTCCGCTAGCGGGTCCAACCGACTCTGCTGTGTTTGGGGTCTCCCAACGGGAATTGCCAGGGGTCCCAGCGTTCTATCCCCGCCCACCGCCCCCTCCTCATCTGGTCTTAAAGGGAGAGGAAGGGTTAACGGGGGCTGCTGTGACCCCACAGCTGTGGGTCTTTATGAGGTGGCGATGGGGCAGGGCTCGTTGGCCCCATTGCAGCCCAGGGGCCGTTTTGTGGCTGTGGGCTGTCAGCGCCGGGGCATCCCATGTGGCCAGCGCAGGGATGTGGGTGCTCAGGGCTGGATGTGGAGCCCCATAAGGATGAAAGTGGAACCCCGTAGGGCTGTGTGTGCTTAGGGGTGGACGTGGAGGCCCGTTTGGGGGTCCTGTTGTGTTTGGAGATGCTCTCTGCCTGGCACAACGAGGCTCTGGCTCTGGATGCCTGACTGCCGTGACTGACTTCGTGATTTACTGCAGTGACTTTTGGTGCAACCCTCAGCATCGCAGCATCGTTCTGCCTTGGCAAACTGTCTGGGGGGCTGCACCGTGGGCCATCCATCCTCCCCCTTTCTCCCTGCCCTTGAACCCACTGCCCCAAAACACATCTGCTCCCCACGTGCTCCCAGATCAAGGCACCTCACAAGCAAGCCTGGGCTGAAACTTGCACAGCTTTGAACAGCAATTTTTGGAGATCCCCTTCTGCACCCTGCTCTGCAGGTGGAACCACAGGCAGCAGGGACTGAGTGCTGCAGGGCTCGCCTGGACTCCTTGGTGGTGGAATGATGGCAGGCAGTGTGTGAACATGTGAGCATTGCTCAGCTGCACCAAAAGCCCCTCTGCTGCTGGAGGAGCTCATTCAGACAGCAGCTGCTCTTTGAGCAGGGAAGGAACGCCCGCTGCTGCGGTGCGGCTCTACCCAACCTCAGCTGCTGTGGTTGCAAACCCCTTTTGTACCCAATGGAATATTTTGGAGGGGATGAAGCTGATTCAGCCGAGCTGAGTCAGGGATGTGAGCTGTCTGCCTCGTGGCTGCACTCGTGGAGTCTTTGAGATACAGAGCAGCTGCATCTGTGACTGCTGCCTGTGCTCAGCAGCCTTCACTGCTGTGCTCGAGTGACACGGGCACAGAAAAAGCCCTCGAGGCAGCCAAGGGAAGGTCACTGTGCTGTCACCAGGCCTGCTTTCATTCACCCTTCTCTTTAAGCAGAGCTCGTGATGGAAAAACAGCTGCTTTGCATCCCCCGTTCCAGCACAGCCCTTGAAGGGGCCGTGTGACATCCAGCAGATGACAGCAGCCCCTGTGAGCTCCCCAAAAGGGACAGGATTCTGTACAACATCAGATGGTGGGAGGGTGAGGGTGGCTGCGCTCTCCAGGACCCCCAGGGATTGGGTCCATACACCTCACCCTCCCACAGGCAGGATTTGCCCCTAACCCAGGCTATCCCCATAGGAACAGAGTGCCACAATGGGAACAGCAGGGTTGAGCGGTGGTTGTGACGGGTAACGATGCTCAAGGTAAGAAAGCAACCGCGCTTCTAAAAACATAAAAGTTTATTTTGCTTCTGCGTGCAGCTGAGCAACGCGCACCATCCTGCTGCCTCCCCTGCACTCGATGCTGCAGGAAAGGGCTGCACTGCTCCTATCTGTAGGAATTGGCCTTGTGCTTGGGCAGGAAGGTGAAGTTGGTGGGTACAGGTCCCAGGAGCAGCTCGCTGAAGGGAAACAGAAGAGGTTTGTGTTCAGTACGGAGCCGCTGCCACCCCCACCTGCTGCACGGCACCGGGGCTCTGCTCAGATGGACCCAAAGCTTTCACCTTCCCACATGGCACCCAACTGGCTCTAGAGCTGAGCTTGAACCCTAAACCACAGCAATGGGAGCACAGACTCTGGCTCTTGGCACAGCCCTCACTGCTGGGAAGTCACTGAGGGTCAATGCCAAAATGGGATTCTAAGTTTGGTGACCTGAATACTAGCTTTATTGCTGGCACCCGCATGTCTAAAATCAGCACAAGCCTCTGAGAGCTCCTCCCAACCTCTTGCTGTGCTTGTGCAGAGCCAAACCCCCGTTAGTGCCAAAGAGTATTAAGGCTGGATCCTAAAATGATGTAAGCCAGTGCTATTGTGACTGATCCTCGCTTAAGACTTCAACTATTTCACACTTGGGAACCCACGCTGGATTTCCAGCGCAGAGTAATTTTCTTTACAGTCCAGGAGGCTTCGTGTATTTCCTGGATGCTGGTTCAATACAGCACCACTAAAACTTTCCATAAGACATGTCAGCAGAGTATCCCAGCAGGGCACATTGCTGTGTAATGAGAAGCTGTGATGGTGAGAGCAGAGCAGAGCATGCCTGGGAGCCCCCTCGGCTGCTTCACATCTCCTTACAATAAGCTTTAATGAATAAACCTAATTGGACTGGAAATTGAATTTTTATGGCTACGAATCTCTCTTAGAAGGTGCTGCAAAGAGCAGTGGTCACAGAGCTTTGCACAGCCCCACGTGGGCAGGTTCTGCTCGAAAAACCAGCAATTAAAAATCCCAATCAAAACTTAACGTGCTCATAACTTGCTTTCAGGCAGCCGCTCCCAGCACTACGTGGATGAGGATTAGCAAAAACCAGAGAAGCTCGTGGCTGTGCTCTATTTTTGTTAATCTCCGTTTCCATGACACAAGGAACAGCAGCTGGCTGTGCTGCACCAGTTCTCATTTTAGCTGCCTTGGAAGTGAAGCAGCTTCCCAGCCATTGCCTGTAGGCTTGTAGGAGTGGGGAGAAGCAGTTGTGTCTGCGTTTTGTTGCACAAGCTCAGAATCAGATGCTGAGGAATGGGGGGGTCGCACTCGGCTCCCTCCAGCTGGGGAAGCTGCCCTGCTGCTGGGCTGAGCAGAGCTGTGTGCAAAGTGCTGACAGCCCCAGCGCCCCATGGCTGCGCTGCCTCCTCTCAGTTCCTGCCTGTCCCAGGATGAGCAGTGTGTCATGAGAGAGGTCAGCCAGCCGAGGTCTGCATGGCTGTGCACGACCTCCTGAGGCAGAGGGAGGGAATGAGAGCCCTTCTGTGGCGACTCCAAGCTGGGTTCAAACCTCCAAGTGAAACTGCCTGACCTCGTGCTTTGTTACCTGATTTTAATCCAATCATCCACGTTTTGGCTGGCCATCAGTGTCTCCAGGTAGTCTCTCCCTATGTAGTAAGGCGGCCGCTCGTTGATCTTCTGAGGCAGGCGCTCCAATAACCCCACTGGAATATACCTGCAGCAAAACACAAACACTATGGGCACTGCGTGCTGCTGCTCAAGGAGGTGGGCCTGCTGTGGGGACAGTCCTCCAACCCGGGCACAATTACCTGCACAGGAACGAGAGCCATTCCAGCAGAAACTTCCTGGTCTTCTCCACACCCTGAGTATCTGACCCCCAGTGCTCCAGGCCGTAGTTGGTGAAGTCTTTGAGGATATCAAATCTCTCACTGGAGGAAATGTCCCAGTGTCTCTGCTCCTTGATTTCAGTGAAAAGCCACGGTTTGATGAGTGCTCCCCTGCAGCCCAATAAAACGTGCATCACCACTCCTGCGACTGATGCTTCAGAGAGGACTAAAATGGTTTCCAGCTCTCATCTGCCAGCCCAGCGCTGCTTGAGAAGCTTTCAGCCACTGTAAGCTCCCACAGACACACAGTGTCCCAAGTTTCAAGGAGTAATTTCATTCAGAGGAAGCTCTTCTCATATTTAGAGTTGGTTTAGGGATTTCTGTTATTTTTTTCCCTTTTTTCCTACTTTTTTCCCCTGCACAAATAGGCTCAGAAGCAAAGGGGGAAATGCAGCCACTTGCCTTGCAATCATAATTCCTGAGACGCCGGTCTGCATGGCTTGATCAGCATCTTCGTAAGACAAAATATCACCGTTTCCTGTGCAGAAGGGAGGGAGAAGCCAGAGGTCAAAGTGATGCAGCAGGGCAAGTCAGAATGAGCTAATCCAGGCATGGGATAAAATTCAAGAAGGACACAGGGTCATATCTAGAGATCCTCAGGAATGTTTCTGATTAACGTTCCCATCACGAGGAGGAGGAGAGCCTTCTCCTCTCTCTCCTTCTCTCAACTCCTACCCTGAAGGTTTAGCTGGGATTCTCTGTGCCGTGCTGCCTACCAACAGAAAGCACCTGCTGCAACCAAGGTGCTCTGCGTGCTGCCCTCCATCCCGCTCTGCTCCACGCTCACCAGGCCAGGCCTCAAGCAAGCAGGCAGAACTGAGCTGCACAAGACTTCATGGAGAAGGGCCAGGGATAATCCAAGCTTTCCCCCAGACTGGATGTATTTGGGGGCTGTATTTTCCCCTACTCTTTTTGTTTTTAACGTTTTTCAAACCGCATCCTGAAACACCTACCAAAAAGAGGCATGGGGCTTGCTATTTTAGCACATTCTGCTATGTAGTCCCAGTCAGCAACTCTTGTGTACCTCTGCTCCCTGGACCGGCCGTGCAGCTGCAGAAAGAAGTCACAGTGAGACCTCACTGAGCACCAGAAAGGAGGCAGAACAGCACAGGAGCACTGCAGGAGCGTGCTTTGACAAGGCAGTGCCACCAGGCTGGGGTACAGGATCCTAATGGGTGCCCAGCTGCTAACAAAGCAGGCTGCAGGGGTGGTTTGCAACGCTGAGAGATGCTGGATGCTTTTCTGAGTAACGTTTGGGCTATTTGCAAGGCAGAGCAGGAAGTGACTGCAGGCAGTGAAAGGGAATATTCACTGTGGGCAGGAACTACTCATCCCCATGCAAATGATTAGCCAGCCCTGATATAATGAAGCTCATCTGAATGAAGCCTCTGTTCCAAAGCCACCTCCTTTTGTAACGGATACAAGCTTCAGGAGCAGCGAGGACAATGTTCTAAATATAAAAGCATCACAATTTGTCTCTCTTTTTAGGAGCAAGCACCAGAAGATAGCACACAGATAGCCAGAGGTGTTTGAAAGAGCTACTGAGCTCTGGGCAGGGGGTGAGGGTCACACTGGGCTGACATGCAAGCA